CAAGAAAACTTTTAAAATCCAGAGGGCTACTCAAGATCAGGTTCATTTTAGGTGTCATTAACAATGCACTTGGGAATTAGCATTTTAACCAGTTTAATCTTTGTAAAGTTTAATTAATACTGGTTGGTCTTTGACCACTCTAAGCTGCTGCTTCACTCCGAGGCACTGCAAGATAATCAGCTCAGTAGGACTCTATTATTTAACCGATTTACCCCAGTCAGCCTCAGCAGATGGCCGCACACTCTGAGCCTGGTTCTGCTGGAGGGTTCTTCTTGTTAAAAGGGAGTTTTCCTCTCCACTGTTGCTACATACATGTTTAATATGAGGGATTGCCTCAGTGGTCAATGCAATGAATCAACTTTTTTTCCCTATATAGAAAACTTTGAATCAATTTGACTGTATGATTTGATTGAATTTTCTCTGTAAAGTGCCTTAAGATGACATGTGTTGTGAATTGGTGCTATAAAATAAACTGAATTGAAATAAACTAGATTAAAATGATGTGGCTGGTCAGTCAGTAGCGCTGCAGCCTTGCAGCAAGAAGGTTCTGGGTTCGATTTCCAGCCCGGGTCTTTCTCCATGGAGTTTGCATGTTCTCCCTGTGCATGAGTGGGTTCTCTCTGGGTACTCTGGCTTCCTCCCACAGTCCAAAAACATGGCTTTAAGGTTAATTGGCTTCTCTAAACTCTCCTTAGGTGTGTGTGAATGGTTGTTTGTCTCTTTGTTGCCCTGCGATGGACTTGCAACCTCTCCCCGCCTCTCGCCCATAGACAGCTGGAGATAGGCACCAGCACCCCTCATGAATCTGCTTGCAATAAGCGTGACGGAAAATAGATGGAAGGATGCATGAATTGAAATTACGTATTAGCGTATCGCCACCATCTGGCTTTCTGATAGTTCTGCGATACTGCCAGCAGATGGCGCCACATCTGTTTATGCCTGCCTGCTTATGTCCAGTGCTGAAATTCTATTAAGGCTTGAAAAGGACAATCTAAACACTATGAGGATGAATGCTTGCTTGGTCTATCGAACCTTATTTTCTCTCATACTCGTCGTCTTCCTCTTCTCTTTGACTGGGTCTTGGGGGCAGCAGTCTCAGCAGAGACTCCCAGACTTCCCTCTCCCAAGACACATCCTCTTGGGTTGTCCCTTGGGCCTCCTCCCAGTTGGACGTGCGTCCTGAGGGAGGCGTCCAGGGGGCATCCGACAAAGATGTCTCAACTGACTCCTCTAGATGTGGAGTAGAAGCTGCTCTACTTTGAGCCTCTTTCTGTTTCCAAAGACTCAGTGGAGAAATATCAGTATATTCTTTAAGTGGTTTTGGTCATTTTCGTATGGGCAAATATCATGACTATGCCCCCTTTAAAGCAACACTACATAACTTTTGAGCCAAATATGAGCTTAATCTGAGATATACAAAATTATTTTTCATACTGTCCTTCTTAAAAACTTGCCTGTGTAACTCGAGAGGGTTTGATCTGTTGCTGAATAAGTTATTTGAGCTAAACCAACAGTTTACAGCAGTATGGGCTCCTCTTAAACACCAGAGCTAATTAAGATAAAGTTGTAGTTAGCCAACAAAACAGATATAAGCCCATACGTGATGAAACATATTTTTGGAGTACAAGAATGAATGTGGGTCTTGTCTTTACAAAAAACTCCAAGACTTCTCATTCTGCAGGTCCAAACAGGTCTGCTATCAGATTCCAGAAAAATATTGGCTGATAGGGGTGTTAAACCTTCATGTTACAGATCTAGGGCCCCTAGTGGCTAAAATTTACAGTGTTGCTTTAAAATCAATGAGGAAAGTAACTAATAACTATTTTTTTAACATTTTTTAACAGATAAAATATTTTAATAAATACTCCCAGCATTCTTTTTTTTCTGTAATATAAAATAACTGATTGATTTGATTGAATTTTTGGCAGAATTAAAATAATTTATTTTATTCTGCCAGGGGTATTAATAATTTTAGGCTTAGCTGCATTCAAGACCAAGACTGGAGTTATATTATTGAAATGGGGTCGTGCGCAGATAATTAGAGCTCTTCTGCGCTGATTTTTTTTCTTATTTAATTTGGGTTTTTTTGTATTTCAGGTTCTGCTGGCTTTCTGCTGATGGCTGTAATGATTGGATGGCTTCTGCTCCCCATCCGTTAAGATCAGCCAGTTCAAAGCAAAACCACTTCCTCCAATTTTGCTTTAAATAAGTGTGCAAAGCTGCTTTGCTAAATGGATGGTACTCCCTCTCTTTCGGTGCCTTCTGCATCATCTTACTGCTTTTTTTATTTACCTATATCCTATATACTTATGTTCTCTGTTGTTTGAAAGAATTACTTTGCTAACAAAGCACAAACCTCTAAGGCAGCACTTTAAAAAGATAGTTTTTCCTGTCTTCCAAAAGGGATTCTCTGCACTTTTATTTTATATATCTTTTTGTTTTTTATGTTCTCAAAAAATGAAAATTTCCAGGTTACTGCAAAGATAAAGACTTTCATTACTTTAGATCAAATTCCACAAATCAAAGTTTACTCAAAACTAGTTTATTGCGAACAAATCTGTAAACTTGACACAAAAACCAAACAACTCCTAGGTAAACTTGCTGCTAAAGTTGAAAAAAAGTGTAAGTTTTGGTTGGTAAAGGAAAATACTAATCTTATCTCTATAATTTCATTTGAAGTGATTGGAAAACACTTTATTGACACTTTTTTTAGCTTAAAAAAAAAACAGGAGTGTTTTACTTTTGCACTTAAAGGCATCCTTTGTATTTCAATTTGATTGTTTATTTATTTTTGGAAGCACTTTACTGGAGCAGCAAAGAGCATTTATTGCAGGGTTGTCTAGTGGGACCCGGGACCAAAACGTTGTCCCTAAAAGGATTTTAGTACAAACACTGGCAGCTTTAGCAATTGATTGATATAGACACATATCAATTTTATTAATTTACTGATGAATTAAAGTCCTCTTTATTGTTATTTTTTACTAACACCCACTGTAATTGCAATACAAAAAGCTAACATAAACTCTAAGTAAAAAGGAGACTTTTATTGCACCCACTTTCCAGTCCACTAATGCTAATGCTAACCTTGGTTCAGTTAACCCCTTTGGCTCCTGAAGGATAAAAAAATGTGACCGATGTTTACCCCCGTTTTTCTTTTTCTTGGGTTGAATCTGCCTTTCCATTAATCTAATTTTGTCAGGACTAAAGGTACGCTGCAACATAGCTCATTAATATATACTGTGATCAAAACAGATTTATAGATTGACAATATTTTCTAAATATTCCCAATAAATGTGAAACTGCCTTCCAACAAACTGCAATAAACATCTATATTACATCTAGATTGTAATAAATCAAGACACATTTATAAATACACACTATAATATATATATATATATATTTATACAAAACACTATTAATTAATGTATCAGCTTCTCTATATTTTAACTGCTGAAAATATTCCGTTTTAAACTGATAATGAATGTAATGCATGCATGGTTTGAGGTAGTTTGCTTAACAATTTGCTGCTTTTTCATCTTTGATTGTAAACTAGCTATTTTCCAACATTAGTATGACTGAATAAGCTGATAACACAGAGTTATTTACGTAATGTTTAATATAAGTTAGTATTACTAACACATTAGCAATATTTATTAATAGTATAAAACCTTCATGTCATTTGAGCTCAGTGTTACTTTCCCCATGTATTTCTGTCATATATAACGATGCACTAAAGTGTTGCTTTTTAGTAAATGACATTTTTTTCTTTTTATAGTTTTAACACCCTTAAATTAATATGAACAAATATCGGGAAAAAAAATTCAAACTGTATCAATAAAAAAGAATCAATCCATTAAGTGATTCAAGAATTAAGAAAAAAAAACATCCCATCTGAAAATACTTGGTAAAATACTGACATAGTATTATACAGAATAAAAGTTACTCTTAATATTATATATGCTTTTAATTGCACTATGTTTATATAAACCCCCTTTGAATGTCAGATGTATTGTATTTTGTCTCCTTTAATTTGTTCTCAGGTGTTTTTTTGTGCCAAAGTTTTCTGTTAGTTTCAGCAAACTGCCTTTTAACTTTATATCATGTTTTGTTACTTGAAGGATGAAATATTCCAAATTATTGCAGTTAAATACATAACCAAACCAGCTATATTACATAGATATTTTTAATTAAAAAATCAACTTATTTTTCTGCGCAAAACCATGTGAAGTGTAATGTTTAATTAAAAACAAAAGTTTAAGCACAAATAGCCTAAAATCTTTTCTAGACTTAACTTGGTGATTTTTAAAAAGATAATATATGAAGTTTAGATGATTATTTAACCCTGCAGTAATGCTCTTTTTTGCTCCAGATCTCTCAGGATTTCTTACAAATGCCATACCTCTTTTTTTCCAGCATTAAGCTAAACTATGGTGCCACTTTTAATCATTTGTTAGCATTAAATTAGTGAACAGATTATTTTCCTATGGTGCTGTTTTGGCCGTGCCTACCTCCCAGATCCATTTATACCACATTCAATCACAGAGATGCAAACTGTAACTTGGGAGGCTAGTAACATGTGAACGTAGTCTCTGTAAACTGCCTTGAGATGAAATGTGTTGCGAATCTGCGCTATATAAATAAACTGAATTAAATAACATGTGATAAGAAGGAGCAGCTAGAATGCTTTTGTGTATTTGCTTTTGCCAGCTTGTTTTTCTACTCTTTGCCAATGTGAACCTGTATATTGTGATGAAAAATGATTAGGACCAATGTTACGTTTACCTCCGAGCCATTTTAATTTAATCAAACTCAATCAAATTAAAATAATGTGTCTCCATGTTTAATCCCCATGTATCGTTTTTATATTCTTTTCAAAAACTGCCTTTTAAACGGATCAAATGGACGTTTCTGAATGCCTGCTTTACTTACTTTAAGAAAACAATAAAAAAAAAAATTGCACACTTCAAACCATGTGTATGATTTATTTCAAAAAAGGTTAATCTGCAAGACAATGTCATGTCTCCATAAAATTCACTTTTTGCACATTTCATGACATCAAATGGTTAAAAGTTAGGCTTAAACTTTAGGTGGGGGATCGATTATATAATTTAAAGAAACAAATGAATTTAATGTGAGTAAATGAGAAATAACAGCTTAGTCTTCACACTCAGGTAAAAAAAAAAAGATTAGAGTTTATCTAACAAAAAATAAAAGAAATTCAGCACATGAACTTTAGACTCTTTACATGTTATTTACATACAATCTGATTTCCTATTATTTAAAGGAGACAAAACTAAACTTGAAGGAGGAATCTTTCATGAATAACTTACTTTTTCCTAAGATTACAATAGAATAAACTGAACGGTTTCCAGGTTTAGATTTAAATTAGCTGTGCAGGATTCTTGCTCACATGGAAGATTTGATTATTTGGTTCTCAGTGAATCAGCCTGCAGCCAATTCTTCTTCTGGGTAGTTTCCTCCCCAAAAGCTTTTTAATGCAAATCGCTTCTGAGATAAATGTGCCATTGAAAGCAGAAGTTCTGTCCTGCCATGACACAGAGCTTCAGTTCAGGATCAGATGTTTAAAGCTGCAGGTCCTTTCACCAGGCCCTGCTCTTTGCGCATCACCGGCGCATAGATACCGCAGTCCCTCATCTCACAAAATCCCGGGACGCCTGGGAACCCGACCATACCAGGTGACCCTACCGGGCCGGGGAAACCACGAGGCCCACGTGGACCCGCAGTCCCGTCCCTTGGTTCTGCTGGGTAACCCGGCTCACCTGGAGAAAGTTAGGGGAAATCGAAAGTGTTCAGAGAGGCTTTCTAACATTTTTATGGAAAAGCCAAATCTCTTATTTGGTACTACAAGAGTTTTTAAGCAACATTTTCTGAATAACCCTTATGGAAACAGGAGAAAAAAATAAAATCCCTCTACCTCTGGGTCCCTGTGGTCCGTCGGGGCCCGGCAGGCCTTTACCTGGATCACCTGGGATGCCTTTGGCTCCCTTTGGACCTGCAGAGAGAAACACATAAAGCAGTTTGGGAAAAATCTTTGAGCCAAAACATAAAACTTTAGATTTAGAGGAATTATCAACTGGGATATATTTCCTCTCTTAAAGGTTTCATTTGTTTTTGTTGTTTTTTTTTGTTGTTTTTTTTTGTCTGGTGGTTTTCAATTATGGTTTCATTTATTAAATAAAAAATCCAAACCTCTAGTATAAATTGTGAGTCAGGAGAGTTCAAACTAAAAGACTGATTGTCTCATCCAGGAAGTGGAAAACAAAACAGAACATCTAAACCTCTGAGTAAAACCCCAAAACCACTGCTGACCTGAAAAAACACAAAGAACCAAAAAAACCGCAGTGGCTACTTAGAAAATAATCATAGATTGAATAATAAGCTTCTAGAAGTATTGATAACACAAAACCGATATGAAGACATTGTTTGAACGTAAGAAATTATGTTGTTTTTATGTTGTTTTAGGAAAAGAAAACAGATATGAGATATTAAGATATAAGCTGCAGCTTGGATTTCATTTTCATATCAGTTTAACATTAAAAATAAATCACAATATTACTGGAAAAACTGATAAATGGGGAGGGGAGGAAATATTTGATCCCTTATTAATATGCAAATGTTTTTGTTGTTAAGATTTTGTCCCTTCTGAGTTAAATAAAATTATCATAATATATTTTTTTCCTTAAATCGGGTGAAATAATAAATAAAACAGGATCCTGGGTTATTTTCTCTCAGTTTGGGTAAAGATGTATTTTAAAAAGCCAAATGTGTTGCCCAATTGTCCTTTAATATGGTTGTTTATGGCTGAAGCTGCTCTTGTAAGCTGCAGAATGAGCAGAATAATTGTGTTTTTCCTGAACTGATCAGTTAGAAAAGGTCTGAGCTGCTGGTCTCTTTCCATCCTGCAGGTAGATTTACCTCTGCTGCCTTCGGCTCCTTTCTGCCCCTCCAGCCCTCTTTGACCTTGAACACCTCGGGCTCCTTTTTCTCCAGGTTTTCCTGCTTTACCCTGGTTATTAAAAACAAAAATGTTATTTGATTCCCACGACAAAGTCTGACCTACAAATTTTAAAATCACTTCCTAGAATGAATCGAAATCCTGATCTGTTAACAGCAGAACCAAAGAGAACATTTTTCTAAAAGACTGATCATAAATACACAACTATATGGGAGCTGAAGCTAATTTGAAAATATTTTATCTGTTTTCAGCAGATCTAATCAACCCATCCAGGTCCACATATCGGGAGAATTGAGTGTAACTGTCTCATTAGTGAACCTGAAGAAGCACATACAGCTTTGCCAGGTGATCCCGGTGGTCCTTGGGCCCCTGGAGGGCCGATCAGAGTCCGGTTGTTGATGGGGCAGCCCTGGGTGCACTTGGCCCGGATTGATGCGGCGTACTGGGCCAACTGGGCCGTGACCACGCCTTGGCAGAGCTGTAGGACCTGCTCGTCCGTCAGACCAGGACCCTTCAGGAGCAAAAACAACCCAGATTATCTTCTGATACAGAACATCAACATGTTTGAATGAAACTAATTAGAGTGAGGCTTCAGGAATCAAAAAAAGTTTCTCATTACTTATTAAACTTTAGCAGGAAAGAAAGAATGCAGCAAAAGTAGGTTAAGTTTGTTTTTAAACATTATAAATGTCAATGAAACTAAATGTATTTTATGAGTGAACCCGTATCTCTGATGTGGGTTTATGTATTTAACTGTGGAAGAACAGCTCCAGTTGGATTTACTTCTTAGGATTTCTTCAGATTTTTGGCCTTTAAACTCCTGCTTCAAACATTTCAGAGTCAAGCTTCGACATTTCGTTACTCACAGCTGGACCTAGAACTCCTTTCGGTCCTGCTCGGCCCCTGCCACCGGGATCACCGGTTGGACCGCGGTCTCCTCTGGGGCCAGGGCCACCAGGCGATCCAACAGGACCCGGGACGCCGATACGGCCAAGTGCGCCCTTTGGTCCTCGCTTTCAGGAAAAAAAATGTGATTAAAGCAATAAAAGAAAAGTAGAGACAAAACAATTGTTTATTTTTTTCTGCTCATAGACTCCTGGATTTCTGATTTGCTGCAAATAAGGTGGGATTTTCTCAGCATCTTTAACGTCTTAACCAATACATGTTACACTAATACACTATCCTTAATCTGAATTTTTTTTTTGACAATTCACTCCATCTCAACCAGAAAGGATAATAATTAAGATGAAATTGTTCATCAAGATACATTTTTTTATCTACTTTAGAAAAGACTTATGGTAAACTGCAATTGTACTTGTCCATCACCTGTTTGCCAAATGTTTTTCCCCAAAAAAGGGATTGTACTTCGGTTGAAATACATAAATTTAATATATTAACTTTTGAGGAAATAAAAATAAGGATAGAGGTTTGGTTCTTTAAATTTGTCTGAATACAGCTTCTGTTTTTTTTAACCTAAAGGCAACAAGTGAACTAATAATACTAATAGGTTATATTTTCAGTATGAACAAAGGATTATTTGACATTGACAAAGGTAGAGTCTGTTTTCTCCAGATCAATGCATTCCTGCACCTGTTGTTACTGTAAATGCAACAGAATCACTTAGATCACCTCTCCTTTGTCTCCACGGTTACCCTTTCCTCCCTGAAAGGTGAACAAAGAACAATGTAAAAAGAGGAGCAGCGTAAACTTAATGAAAGCACAGCTTTGTCACATTTTAATTACCTTTTGGCCTTTCTCTCCCTTGAGACCTTTCGTCCCAGCTGCCCCCTAAAAAACATGTCAACAAAAGAAGCATTGATAAAAAGAGGAAGACTCAATTAGTCATAAGTTTCACAAAAACATCATCTGACAGATTGTAGTTTACTTAAGCTCAAACATAGGGAAAGGCAACCAAAAACAAAAATGTCAACACAAGACAGGGATTTCCCTTTTTGGCGCAGGGAGATTTGCTGGTTTGAAGTTTGACCTTTGTTGTCACACAGTATTGCATGTTCCTCGCGAGTTTAACTGATTATCCCTCAGTCACGAGGTGACTGGGTCCATTCCAGATGTCCTTCTAGTTCACATGGTGCATTGTGTAAAACGTTGCATAAAAAAACATGATCCTGATTTATGAGACTCTATAGATCCCAATGCAGCATATTCAGTCAAATAAAAGCTCCAATCTGATATATACACATCTGTGCTTTTAAATCTTCATTATCTAAAAGTTCCTACAAGCAAAGAACTTTTCTCGTTTTCTTAATGTTCGCTTCATTAATTATCTTTTTTTCATTGCTGTCACAGACCAGCCATAAGATCATGACAGTCTCATGCCTTTCAGTAGAACATCACACAGCCTCTCATAAGGTGTCATGGTGTCATGTGCTCTTCAGACGAGTAAAGCACATACATCTGATTGTTTGGGTTATGTAAAAACACACCAGCTTCCTATGTACACTCCTTTCTAGTCCAGTTCAGACCCAAATGTGCCCAAAGTTGACTTTTTTTAACATAGGCTTGCAGTCAGAGTGAGTATCCTGTGTCTGTAGATCTATGCAGCTACAGATGCAACAAACTGTAATGCACTCTCTGTGTTCAAAGGTCTACCAGAACCAGAATTTTTATTTATGTGATTTGACCAACCGTAGCTAATCTCAAGGTTTAGAGGTCTAGATATACAATTGAACTTAATTAACCAAAATATTTCACAATTGCAAAGACTATTTAAAAATCTGATAGCTACAAGTTTGACCCCCGGGTCAGCTGGTGGCGCACTTGTGCTCGCCTGCTCTCGTTTCAACCTTCAATTTTAATGTTTGCCAGCCTGTTTACCTGTCCAGCAGGAAAAATGCATCTCATGGCTTCTGAGCTCGTTAGTTTAACGGTCCCAATGTTCACCTTCGTTTTTTTTTTGGCTAAATTGTCAAAAAATAAACAGTTACGCAAAGACAACGTTACTAAGATCTGGCAGAACCTGAGCTCCATCCCTGATGATTTTGAACCTGTTATAACTTTTGGTGCAGAACCCTTTTGTATTCAGGCTGGCATCGTAACCAGAAGTAAATATTTTGATATGTTGGGCCCGTCAAAATAAAAGAAATATTTCTTTCTGTTATATGAATACTTTTTTCTGCACCAGTCCAAATGTTCTTATGTCTTATTTTTAAAGATGAAAAAATTGTAGCTACTGTATAACATTTGGATTATTATTAAATACATGCAAATACCAAGATTTAAAGCTGCACTTAGTAACTTGAATTTTTTTATTTTATTTACATATTTTTAAAAACTGTCACTATGGCATTAAAATATGACACAGATAATTAGTGTGGAAAAGTAAGCTCCTCTGCCTCCCCGGTCAGACACAACCATTAATGGCCAGAAGGAATGTCTTAGGTTATGTTAACACTTCCTGCTGAAGTCACCCAAATCCGATTTTGCGGCCAATATGCGACCTGTATCTGATCTTGTCATGACATTCTAAAAAACACAGATCAAATTTGTTCAAATGTAACCCAGGCCACTTTGGCTATATTCACACTGCAGGCCGTAACGCTCAATTACGATTTGTTTGTGAAATACTATTCTTTTGCATGGTCGTTCACATTAGCAAAAATTTGTGAACTCCTGTGTGAACTGCATTCATACGACTTAAGTGTGCTTACAATTTAAGTATGCACAGAAGGGGATATAATGACATCACAAGCAAGTGTGCGCTATGTTTACGGAAGTAAACATGGATGGTAAAGCTGGAGCACGTCTTGCAATCTTTCATTTAATTTCTAACCTCAGCCGTGCATCAACAATACAATCTTTTCAAGATGGTTAAAAAATAAAGACGGCTCTCCGTATTATCATCTGCAGAATAGTTACCTTCATTTAGTATTAATGACTTTCAGCTTGGATTAATGGGACCTGGCAGTTCAGACACAGGTCACATTTGAAAAGATCAGATTTGTAACAGATTCAGGACCACAAAGCACATAGGCCTGGGTTGCACTGAAAAAAATCAGATGTGTGTTGTTCAGACTGTCATGAAAAGATCAGATACAGGTCGCATATGGGCAAAAAAATTCGGATTTGGGTCACTTCAAGCTGCTGTGTGACTGTAGCCTTAGTTATGTGGTCCTGAATCCGATACGAATCTGATCTTTTCAAATGTGACCTTTGTCTGAACGGCCAGGTCGCATTCATCCGACCTGAACGTCATTAATACCCAACAAAGGTCACTATTCTGTGTCTTGCTATGCAGAAGTGGGAAGTAAAACAACAACCATGAGGGAAAAAAACGCAGACAGCAGTCTTTATTTTCAACTTTCTGGAAAAGAATGCATCAATAATTTACTCGTTTCTGGTTGGAAAAGAGATGAAAGATTGCAAGATGTGCTCCAGCACTACCATCCATGTTTACTTCCGTAAACACAAAGCACGCTCGCTTGCTTGTGACATCATTGCATCCTCTACTGCACATGCAGGACATTTTGTTGTATGAATGCAGTTCACACAGGAGATCACATACAAGTCGCATATATGGAAATGTGAAAAACAAGGCAAAACAATTGGATTGTAGAAGAAAAAAAAATTGAAATTGAACATTAAGGCCATTAAGGTTTGAAAATAGCCTTAATAGCTTCAATCATGCATGTCTATAAGCTACTCTCCCTGATTATTGATGTGTTGCTGCATGTCACTGTAAAGTATACTGTTGTTTTTATCCTCACTTGTGAATCTATAATCAGTATTGTAACTTTTTAAACATAATAACGTGTTTCTGAGAGGGACCAGTTCAAATGAACCTATAATACAAAGAGATACATTAAAAACATGAAAGCAAAGAACACATTTTTATAAAACTCACCTTCACCCCGTCAGGTCCTGTCTCTCCTTTGCCCCCCTAGAAAAAATAAATTAGTAAAACATAGAAACTTTTTAAATAAAAAACAAAAAAAAACAAATCAGTTTATTTCCAAAGTAAATGAATATAAGATTCTGTCATAAAAACATTTTCATAGATAGACGTCTGAAGTTCCAGATGATTTTGACATAGACCTAACAAATAAAATGAATAAAAAAAAAATAAGTGCAACCTGGAAATCTAAAGATACAAAGATTAAAAAGATAAAGAAAAATCCATCTAATCATAGCATTCTGGATATTTGGATTATAGCAAATTTTGATAAGTTGCAATTAAAAATAATATATTTTTTTTGTTTTGCAGTTTTTAAAACTGATCTTAAAATCAGTTAAAGCAAATTCAAACTCTTTCAGTCATATTTTGCAAAGGTTTTCAGTAAAAACATTATGATTTATGAATTTTCACACAAAACTGATTAAGATTTAAACTTTAACTCTTATTTCTTGCTGTGCACATACTTTTGGACCCTGAAGACCTTTGGGTCCATGTTTTCCTGGTATTCCAGCATCTCCAGGTTCTCCTTGATCTCCCTTTTGGACAAAAAACAGAAATGTAATTAAGTTGAAATCTTTTGGTTTCAACATATTTTTTTAAAACTAGTTATCAACATCTACAGACCCCTTGAATAACTGTATTAGGAATGCTGACATGACATAATAAACAACTCAAAATGTTAAAACTGATGTATATTAGGAGAGAACCAAGAATCAAATCACTGGTTGCAACTTATAAAAGAATATTGAAGAACCAAACTAAAGAAACCATTTTTTTAAGGTTCTGTTTGATTAAATCTAATTATATAACCTTAACTCTAACGATCCCTTTAAAGAAAACTTTCAGGAAACTTGAATATCTAGCAGCTAACAAAGGGAATTTCGCAGCAGTAACAATTATTTGCAAATATTTATGAATACGTTTAGAAAAAGAAGTTTGATTTAAGAAACAAAGAGTGACGTTAAACTTTTAACCAACAATGTTAAACTGAGTCCACAGCTTTGCAAGATAATCCATGTTTCATAATCCTTTATCCTAACTTTATTAGGATTTTGTTCTTTTGTATTCAATCCCATTTATTGTGACACCTCTAAACAAAAACATCAGCTGCCTTCACAGTTCGTCTAAACAGTAAATAGAGTCCATGTTTGTAAAATATAAGAGAAAAACCAGTATATGTATCAACAGCAAGAGCAACAAGAACATTCCTTCATAAAAAAAAAATTAAAAGGTAACTCTGGAGGAGCTACAAAGATCCAAAGCTCAAGTGGGAGAGGCTGTAGACATGAAAACGCCAATGTCTGCCACAAGCTGTTTGAGACTCAACAAACATGTGGACGAAGGTGCTGTCTCATGCAAAGTGTTATATTAGGAGGAGAGCACTGCCTGCCTCATAGCAGAATTATGCGATGGTTTAAAGTTCTGAAAAATGCAAAGTTAAAGGTAGAGTGGAGGATGTTCATCATCAAAATAAGTGGTCCTTCTAATTGTTATTTGTCAATGGTGATATATTTACGTGCTCGTCCCCTTTTTCATTTACCAGCGGTGAGTCTGACATAGTGGAAAAATTGCAAATTTTCTTTTGGAAAGAAAGTGTGTATGAGCGATGCAATAGGCTCGTGCATGCTCATTTTTTTGTTTAAAGTGGAGAGGACGGGTCTTTTAAAGAACTTGCATAAATGCTTTAGTATACCTTTAAAGATATAATAGGGTATTTCTTATCTGACTAAGCTTGAATTATTTTGTGAAACAGAATGGGCAAAAAAAAAATCATTCTGTTGTGGAGATCAAGTAAAGCGCTTGCATCGCCCTTTCCTTCCATCCCTGTTGTTTTGTTTGATTGGTTCATAAATGTTGTTATAAATGTTGAGACTCTAACGTTTGTCTATGTTGTGTCATTTTTATTATGTACTACATGGATAAAGAAATACTGGCTTCAAGAATCAGCCAAAAAATATCGGCAGCACGAATTGAGGATCGGTGTCAGAATAAAAGGTATCAGTCGATCTCTGCTCTGTATGCATACAAAGCTGGAAGACTGTTTTCCCACTTCTACTCTCTGATATTCTTTAACAGGGGTCTTCATCTCCAGTCCTAGAGATCCAGTCTCCAGCATCTTAAAGTTAAATAATCAGGTCATTAGAAGGACGAAAGGTGAAAAAGACTACAAGCCTCCTCCCTGCTGCCCTCTGGGAAGAGGCTTTGCAGCATTCGATGCAGGCCCAGCAGATTCTGCAACAGCTTCTTCCCCACCGCCATCAGACTGCTGAACTATTGAAAAAACTCTAAATCAAGTCACAGACTCTGCGTCACACTGATAACAAACCCCCATTCTGCATATTTGCACCACATATATTTGTCTTGAAATGATCTGAACTTCCATATCAGTGCGTTTTGCACCACATTTTTTCTCCCACACTGTTTACACTCGATCACTGCTGCACTTTATGGAATGGAAATGTTCTTTTCACGGCTCAGTTGCTGCTTATTTACTGTCTGTAAGCTGTACAAAACGAAATTTCAATAAAAATTGTCTAGGTCTAAAAAAAATGCTGAGGAGGTATTTCAGCCATTTGATTTAGTTGTAGGGAAGCAAAGACCCATCTGAAAGGTGCAGAACCCTTGACCTCCAGGACCGGAATTAAAGACCCCTGGTCTAGAACCTCAGTTCAGTACAGAAATACACTAATAAGCAGAATAATTTACAGTTCTGCTGCATGAGCCTCATGTAGGGAATTATCGACCATGGTATGAAATTCACTGGAGTCATTCATTCAGTCAAACATTCAGAGATTAGACTTAAAATGCAGTACAGTCAAAACACACAAAAGGGCTTTTGGCAAAAGCTCAAATAATAACCTTTATAAGACACAATCATGTTGATCAGAGTGTTAATATTTTCGTCTTTAAGGGGAAGTCCCTCATGTTTCAGATGATAAGGTCACTGGTTATGTTGACATTCACACCCACACAGCTGCTGACCAATATGCCCTCACTGACACATTTATATTATAAAAGGTTTTACTATTATATATCTATCGGGATGTATAAAAAAATTCTCTAAAACCTGATTAACTGCTGACTTAATAAAAAGGACTCTATTGATTGATCATTTAAAATCTTTATGATCTAAAATTGTACTATTAAACTTAAGAACAGAGATTTTAAGTTAAGGTCATACATGATTAAGTTTTTGGTTAAACTAGCTATCAAATGTAATTATTGCTTTTACAGGTAAATGCACTTCAATAAGCATCAGATTGAAATTAAAATGACTATCATTGTAGAAGAATTGCTGAAAAGGTATTTACTTGTTTCACAAGAAAGCAGACTGTTCTCACTTCCTTTTTCGATCTGTCAAGTCAAATAACAGATGTTAGGACTTCCTAAAGACTGCCAGTACCCAAGAATAACCCTTTTATGCAAAACTAAAGGAAGTTACAAAGAATAAAAAAAAACTAAACCAAAAGTGGGGGACACCCAGCGAGAATTTCATTTCATTTAAAACCAACCCTAAATAAAACTGGCTGGGTTTCTGTTAATAAGCCACGATTAACTGAGATGAGTTGGCTGTAATTCATTACAGATGTATAAACATTAAAAGTTTATTGATTGATTGTTTTATTATTCATCAGAATTTTTCATTATTCTTGAAAGTCACTCAGTGACTCAGTGAGTCAGAGATTGTAAAAGGAACTACAGTACAATCAAAATCTTACCACCAGGGATGAGAGTAACGGCGTTGAAAGTAACGGCGTTAGTAACGCCGTTACTATAACAACCCAAACACACAGGATTTCAAAATTAGACATCCCCAGTTATTAATTTCATACACTCACCAGATCTGAACGCCCTGTTAAAAAACTTCACACCCATGAGTAGAGGTAATGCAGCCTGATGATATTTACACCGCATCAGATACCGTTCCCCCATGTTAACCCTCTCCAGGCAGATGTTGCAGATTTGCAACAGCTAAATGCCACTTAGCTAATTACTCCACATCCGTATTTAAGAGCCTGTGTTATTCAGAAGTACAACAGAAGGACTTGGTTGTGCATTTGCAACAAACAGTTTCTCTCCAGCTCACCAGATAGCACTGCTGACTCACTTTCAAAATGGCTGAGTCCTTGGTGTCACTGAAACAGATTTTCTAAGCACCAATTTCATCTAAGTATCACTACCGATTTCCATTATTTTGAAATCAATACTACATAAGATGAATCATGAATGTGTATAGATATGTATAGATATGACACATGCCAATTAGTAGATATAATCTCCTCTGGGTTTTTCACCAGAGGCATCTCGATTTCAATGTTGTGGATTTGCAACGTGTGCCAAAACAGGTACCAATGGATGCTACATTCTTTATCTACTATTTTGCCTATATTTTTTAGAAACAGTTTAACAGAAACGGCCTTCTCAAGAGGTTTTGAGATGTCGGTGGAGAAAAAGTTTGAGAAAAACTTGTCTCTAATTTTGTGAGAGAATTTGTTTTTCCAATTTTGTTTTGTTAATTTGTTGTTTGCAACATTCAAATAAAGTTAACGTTCATATCAGATTCAGTCTACAGTGTTAATTTACCACTCTGGGCCACTGTTGAAAATCTGCAACATCCCAGAATTCATTGC